ACTCGGTAGTGTACGTTGAGCAGTGCGCTAACTATGCAACTTTACACAGTTTATAATCAAATGACGGTCAGTCTCTCACGACGCGAACCAATTCAGGAAAGAATGAGTTGCACCTCAGTTCCATTCTACAGGATTTGTTCCCTTATTTTGTTCTCTCCATGCGAGAAGTGAGAACGTACATGTTCACATGATCAGGTGAAGCGGTTGGTTGCTGCTAAAGAGAATACCGTTGCCTGGCGTAGGCAAGCTTTCAGGATGCATTTTACGGGTTCAGTGCAGTCCAGTTCAGTACTTCAGTTACAAGCGCTACTCTGTGCTTTCAGTTTATGGATCAGACGCAGCAAACCTAATTCAAAAGTCCATCCAAACATAGGTGAAGGAACGAAAATCGCATGCTTTGACGATTTGAGTAAATGCAGAGTGATGCTTTGTGTCCCCATTCACCTGCGATCAGTAAGGGAGTAAACACTCTTCCGCGTTTTGTCACCCTGCTTCTCATGATCGCGTCGACAATTTTTAGATAAGGAGAGGGAATCGAGAAATGATGCGTAAACCCGATCGTCATAATTTAGAAAAATGCAGCGGTTTGTTTGAAGCCTTACGAAATCACAAGAAAGTTCAAAATCTAAAAGATTCGCGATGAAGACACAATGTTATCGAAGTTTTTCACAGCAGGCGTACAAGAGATTTTCGATACACCTTTGGGAAAATTAGGGGCTGAACATAAATGGGCACTAGTACTCAGATGATATTCAGAGCCTCTGAAATGCACCAGAGGAACTCGAAAGAAGATTCCAAGAGCTGAACAGCGTGAACATCAAGCTGGACTGAAAATGAATCTGAAGGAGAGAGGTCATGTTAGACAAATACGCCACCGCGCAAACTGTTGAAGTCACCGGATTTAAGCTTTAAAAAGTTCAAAACTACGTCATTCTGGGGCAGTTCATCTCTGCATAAGCGGAGACCCGATTATGTGAAATCAACAGAAGAATAAAAATGGCTTGGGACATCATTGCAAGACTGAAAGTGTTCCTCTCCTCGAAACTGTCCTTGTGCTTGAAACGAGCGGTTTGTGTGCTTCAAGTGCTAACCTATTGATTCGAAGGATAGATCTTCAGCCTGAAAGCATTTCGTGAATTGCCGATTACGCTAGCAGCATGAAAAGATGTATGTATTTAGGAATAACATGAAAAGATAGAAAGATGAATGAATGGGTGAGGGTATAAACAGGAGTTTGCGATGCCATTGCCTTAGTGAAGAAGTTGAAGTGACAATGGGCAGGACACGTTGGAAGAAGAACCGACTGACGTTAGGTCAAGAATAATGTTTGATTGGAAAAGCGAGGGTGCATTTTGGCGAATTTCGCAGTTAGTATAGAACGACCAGGTAGCTTTCATTAGATTTTATTAGCAGATATGTAGTTTTATGTTTCCTGGCAGGCTTATACTGAAATATTCCTTGACATTTTAAAATTGTAATCTTCATGATCTTCGTGATTCTATGAAGAGGGAAAATTTTTAAGATTATTGTTTCTCCCGAGGGCTGCCTGATTTTATGTTATTCTAGTGAGTAGTGTGAATAGAGGGCACTGTCATCAGACAGCTTCCATATGCAGCACAGCTGCAAAAGCCGCCTTTTCTTTAACGCCCGGAAGTCAAAAGTTATAAAAAACCCATGAGTCACAACTAATTTACAAGTAGAAAGGCAAGGGGAAGCACTTCAGGAGGTTTACCAGTTTAATTGTCTCAGATCCATCATCTCCAGCGACGGAACCATCCAGTTAGAGTTAAATTGGAGGATCGTCCAGGTCTAGATGTTTTTGGTAAGTTGTTCAGTATTTGGATTGAGAAAGAAGTGACCCTTTACACAAAAAGTTTCCTGTACCTTGCCTCAATCAGGCCAGTGTTGCTGTGCAGCATTAGTTTCGACGCATAATTAGGGCGAAATTGCAGGACCGCGTAAAGATAGACTATTCTCTTACTGACACATGTGATCTTAGCAGATGTCAAAATTAAGAACGGATAAGCGACACTCTTAGATAAAGTGATTGAGCGTAGAACATTTACTCCGGTCCTTAAACTTCTCGTGTTAGAGCCGAAACATCATGTCTACCAGGAGGTTGTGCAGCAGAGGGGAACGAGGTTGAGGCAGATTAACTCAGATCAGAGAGTAACTGTTCCTTCTAAAGTGCATTAGCCGATGGCACAAGTATGGAAAACATACGAATACAGCGAATTTCGCAAAGCGGATATGTTCTGTTTATGCCGAAGACTCAAAGTGATTATCTCCAGCAAATACACCAGATTTGGACGAATTCTCTTATTAGCTGTCTTTCTAGGCGTTTAGAGGCATGAGAGATGATTGCAGCGAGAGGTTTTATCTGAAATTGACAGTATTACAATGGCATGATTGTTGAAACAGTTCTCTGCACACCCGTTTTAAATAAGGGCACGGCTACAGCATATTTGTGTTCTCTCAGGAATTCTATTATTCCATATTTAGGGACAGGGCGCATGAAATATTTGTACCATTCCGGTTCCTCCGTTATTGTTAAATTCCGTGGATATTTCATTCACGTCACAGACGTTTTTCACCCTGGGGTGTAGTGGGACTCTTCGTGAATGAGTGCCAACTGAGCTTCCTGCCTACCGAAACACTGCATTATTCCACGGCATGTGGTTTGCTGTTACGTAATAATGTTGGTTATTAAACAGTGTACTTTTAGTTTCCCGGTTTAGTGCGCCGCATGCTTTGAAGGACACTTGAACAGAAATGAACGAAATTGCATCCCAAGTTTTTGTTCCTCCTATTAGTGCAATTGCTGAATGGATAGTGGCTAACAAGTTTCACAAGGTATGTTTCAGACGTGAGTTGTTTGTTTATGTGTTGATAAGGAGCCAGTACGACTTTTTACGACAGCACATGATAACACAAATGTCGTAAAATGTGTTACCAAACACATTAACAATTTATCCATATTCATATGGACTGACATTAAATCGCTGTCTAGTTCAAATCAGTAATTCCTTATTTCAAGTCTCTACCACATTATTGTTAAGTCTGTCATTAACCCTAAACTTCTGCACTGTCTCCTGCAGGTTTAAATTTACGCCCTAGCTTAGAGTTTAGCTGAGATTTATGAGAGAATGTGGTGAAACACGGATTACAGGCATGAAATAATTTCAGTATTTCCTGAAATTACGGCATCTGTTAACTGCTGCCATGATCCCTGAAAAGGTTATTTAATGAAGCAATATTAATTAGTGTCGACGGAGTTTCATCTCCCGTTGGAAACAGTTCTGACGGGGGAAACATTTTGATTATAAACCAAGGCGAAATGATTTGGGTTACTTTTCGTGTTAATTCCCAAAGAATGCAGGATAAAATATTTTAATCATATCTCTCGATCCTTTGAACAGGAAATTACGATTTGCCGATTGGACGCGTGGAAGAACCAGTTAATAGTTGATGCGTGGTTTTAGAAAATTGAGAGAAAGCAATTTCATTTGCATTTCTTGGATGGTCAAAATCTCAGAAGTTCGATGCAGTAGCGTTTTCTATACTTGAATGCTGGCTTCTCGCTGAACATGGGATGATGTCTGTTTATCAGCGTTGCGTTACTCAGTTGACAAATTTGAAGGTGAGTGAAAGATAACATAAGGATAAAAGTAACAATCCATGTAACTGCGGTGAAATATGTTTTTGATTGAGGTGACCTTTGACATTTCCAAGGTCTTCATTTATATTTTACTTTGTACTTATTTTCTCTTAGTTCATCAAAGTTTTATTGTTCTTTTAGGTTGCGCTTCAGTTTCCGGACAGTTTGGCTAAAGACGCTGGTTCATTTGTTCATGAGCTACAACATTATCCTGGAATGGATGGTGTTACTTTCTTTGTCTTAGCCGACGCAGTCTATAGGT